ACCAAAGAATAATAATTACAAAATAGTAATGTTATAGAAGAAAGACTACAAAATATGATTTATTTGAAATTTAGTGCACTCCTAGCAAATTCTAATAATAATTATTTTGTTTGATTCTATGCATTTATAAATATTTTATGGTTTTAAATGGCTCAGCATTACTTTGGTTGTGTTTAGTTTGAATTGCCTACCATGTAGGGCAAAACACAGAGAAGGAGCATGAAAAATTAAATCTCACAAAGACTTGAATGAGGAAAAGCCAAGGGTAACATATGTAACTACATTGGGAAATCAAGTGTGGAGAAAAACTAAGATAATATCCAAATGATACATCTTTTTAGGAAATTTGAATGATTACAAAGTAATTGCCTTCTCTCTACCAATAAATATGCTCAATCCCTATCTTTATTACCTATTGTAAGATTGAGGATAAAGAAAGAAGGTGATTTTCAACTCTATCGAATGACTTTTTAATTTAACGACCAATTGCTTTGACATTTGTTGTAATGATTTTTTGCATTCTAACCCTATTGATTTTATTTATGCATTTTCTAACTATAACTCAAAATAGTTCACGTGCAACACACGTGTGCAATAATTAGTTTATAGAAATTTCTGATATAAACTATGCAATTAAGATAATAACATATAAAAAAACTAACTTGATTGTAGACTAGGAAATATATATAAATTATGATCAAGGCTAGTATTTGATATTATGTCCTTAAGATAGATTTCACCTACACACTGGTGCCTTATGGATAGTTGAACGTCTACTACCTAGAGTACAATGATCATCATAAACAGATGAAGCATTGCAATTTGTATGCTAAACGAATTAGAAGTATGATTTTGGATAATTACAAAATGTTGAAGTACTTAATACTAATGAAGTCTATCATATTTATAGACAGATTAGTGACTGAATTGAACAATCACCAAGCAACCATATGCAATCAAAATGCAAACACTTGTTGATAAACAATCATGAAAAATTCAAATTCAGATTAGTAGGAAATTGTAAGACCCCATATTAAAATTAAATAATGATACTATTATCTTAAGAGTTTTCCAAAGATGAATAAAATGAGGGTAGAAACTTAGAATCATTGTTGAAAGATTGATCAAAAATTTTGAGTTTCGAACAAATTGACTTTTAGGTCAAACTTAGTTTTAAAGGTATTTAAACTTGAGAACAATGATTAGGTAGGTTTATAAATATTTTTAGGTTAAAATAAAGTTTCCATTGAATCTAGAAGGTCGAGAAACCTTGAGAGAGGTAATATGGAGTGTATTAAAAGTTAAGAAGTATTCCTGAGTTAAAGCGCATCTTAGAAAGAATTCTGATAAGAAGAAATTTGACACTACCTTATTATTTTAGCTATAGCTTTTTACTCCTATCTCTGATTGAGGTAATTTTTGGTCAATAGAAATTAGACTTCAAGGGATACAAAAATGTATTTTACAAAAATTTTCTAAACCGACTTTTAAATATGTGAAAACAGCTCCTAAAGTTGGGACAAAAAGTTGGCACCGTCCGGACACCCCGTCCTACCCTAAAATCTTATTTTTCATCCAAAACAGTAAATTTGCACCGTTGGGATGCCTAAATAACATCCAGTTTTTCTCTGTTTTCACCCTATACATACCATAAGGACATTCCTTTAGCCATGTTTTATCAGTTTTCAACTATAGGCAACCCTAGAGAGCAAGAGAGAAGAAGAGGAACACAAGATTGAAGGAGTATTCTCACATTGGAATGGATCAAACCCAATAGGTTTATACAAAAACTATGGAATCAAGGTAGGGGATTATCCTTAAGTTCTTTCATTGAGACTTAGGATTATGTATGTTTTAAATCTTCCAGATTATTATATGCTAAATAATCTTTCCTTCTTGGTTTCTTTTGATTAACATGTTGTTCATTCTTGATTCTTTTTCGAGAAATATATGTTTTTTCAGCAGGATACATGTCTTGTATCCAAGAAACGTTATTCTTGAATTTCCAAAACTCTAGTTTTTTCCAAAATACATGTTCTATTATGAAAAATACATGAATTTTTGATTTCTAAAGTGTTATTCTTGATTACATCATGTTTTCATCTAATACTTGTTCTTGATCTAAAATATTATGATTTTTGGCAAAACCTTAGAATTTTAATATCGAAATTGTGAAGGTTTTCTTAGTATGATCTCTTGTATATTTTAATTATTTTATTACTATAGTGTATTGAGAATTGTGAAATTGTCACACTTGAATTCTTATGAAAATTGTTGGTTAAGATTGTGGTTGTTGAGAATATTGAAGTTTCATCTTGTGTATGGTTTGGGTGTGATGGATTTGAATTGCCTTCGAGAGCTACCGTAGAGTGTTAGAAGTTGGTTTATCCCAGTGGGGGTGAGATGGTTGTCTAACACTTGTACTTACCAACGATAATGGAGGTCTTAACCCAACGGATTAACCTTAATTGGTAGGTAAAATGAGGCATTGACGGAGATGATGGATGGGAACTCCTACTCTGACTATAATTACGATCTCTAAGCTGGATTTTTAGTCATCTATCTTTTTTCTTTCCCTAGAAACTAAAGTGCCCCATAAGCTATAAGGGCGAGCTATATGTAACAATTCTATGAACAACAATTAAACTGAACATTCCAAGTGCATCCAACAGGAATCGAACCTACGAATTTTTCCAGCTGGGCGCTTTAACCATTCAACCATAGATGCAAAGAGATTCAACGAGTGAACTAGGTTTTGGTATTCCTTCTCGAGCTTCTATTTCTTCTGTTAAAGGAGATTCGAGAAAAGATGGAATAGGAAGACGTGTTTCCTAAATGAACAAGATATAGGTTAAGAAGGGGGAGTTAGCAAAGTTAGACAAGATTGGAATGCACATAGGAACATGTATTGATGTACCAGATCAGCTAATGCTCCCAAGTTGATGCGATGTATTCCACCAATTGACGAAAGACTTGTTTTTGAAATATAATCCAGTTCGACAAGATGCTTTTGAAAACATAGTGCACCTATGTAAATAAGTAACAAGATGAATACAGAGGTTAAACATGCATCTCACATCGGAAAGGTGCCTCGCATAGGTCTTCCCCAAAACCCCCTAGTAACTAAGGTAAACAACATAGAAAAAGCACCCATTTCTTTACTGATTCCTGAAGAACAAAGAAAAAGGGAATGTTTTGTTAATAGGAACAAGAAAGTGTTTATAGCCATAGCGATATAAACAAGAATACTCATCTGAGCCGCAGGAACATGTACATAGAGAACATGAGAATTTTCACCTTCTTGAAGATCTAATAGTGCTACTCGAAGACTTAAATGAATAGCCGTCACTATTAAGAACAACCGAAATCCAATGAGAATTTTTCCGTAGCTTCTGGTCTTTGAAATCAAAAAACAAAAGGTTGTAATAACAAAACGGACATATAATAATTTGGTCCTAGCTAGTGGAACAAAAAAGACATGGATCTATATTCAATACGCAATCAAAGGATTCCCCCCTCCCAAAAAAAAATTGAAGAATTCCTCTTGCTTTGTCTTCGCTCCGCTCATGCGTGGCACTCCTTGCTCGCAGGGCAACATACCGAAAAAAGAAAGGTTTTCGAAGTCTTACCTTCAGTTGCTCGATGGCCAAGGCACATTACAATTGTCAATGACTCGTGACAATGGAAGGTTCAAGAGAGAGCCATCAAATGTCCATCAATGGACTAAACCCTTTTTTTTCTTCACTTTAAATATATTTTAGGGTCCCTCATTTTTCATCTGTTCATAAGACCTAGCTCCCATTCTTTATCACCAGTAAACCTTTCTTTCAGGCAGTCTATTAGCTACTGGTCACTCTAGAGTAACTCATTGCCTTTTATTATTTCCATCTTATTTCTTGCCTTTTTAACTTCTGCCTTATCCTACGCTTAGCTAACCTTATTCTCTGGAAGAAAAACCTGTTATCTTGAGTATTAAAACTTGCCTTAAAGGGTTCATCCTTTGCTTCTCTGAAATTTAGCCTTAACTACTGAGTGTGGCCTTTGTTACTGACCTTTGAATATACTCCATGTTTGCAAGTCCTATAGTATATTGCGTTAGCCTTATGGACACCAGAAGCTTCAACCTATGTTCTTGAAATGAGAGCCAAACTAAGAACAAGGAAGAAAATATATACATTCATACGAGTGTTTGGACCTAACCTAGTCGACTCTGGTCCCCTAACCTCCACCCTTGGCTTGGCAGCTATTTGGTTGGATATCCTACGTACCCGGAGCTGAGAGTATGTTGCTTTATTTTTTTTGGTTGGTCATCCAAGCATACTAAAATAGAGTTTCTTTCTATTTTGATTGGCCTTATTTACCCTAAAACTTGCCCCTTAGGTGCTATGGTTAATAAGTCCTTTCCCAGTCTGGTCCCTTCCCTAAAACTTACATCTTGTTCATATTGCATTGTAGATAAGATGACTTCTGTGAGGGGTAATTTGTGTTAGGAAAAGCGAGACCCGGGCTGACTCTAGCAGCTATCTTAGCTTCCTGGAATTGCCAGCCGGTTAGATCTCATTTTTTCTAATTTGTTCTATCTTGAGCTAACCCTAAAGTAGCAAGTTGTCTCAAGGGAAAGACCTTTCTCCTAGAACCAACCTTAGTAACATAGAGCTATCTGAAAAAAAAAAACATTTTCTTATGCCACTACAAGCACAGGAAGGAAAGAAAGCTACATCCCTATATACAAGAAAAGAAAACAGAACACTGCTGCTAGAGGAAGTCAAGCTAGCTAATAGGATAGGAAAGGCTAGCTCCCAATTACATGGCTACATGAGGGAAGCTACATCTCAAAGCAAGAAGTAGAACTCCTATCATGACTATCCTAACTCAGTCCTTCCATCTAGGGAGGGAGATAGCGTACTATTATGGTATACAAAAAATGAGATATAATAATAGTACGGTAGTCAGATAGGAAGTCAAAACTAGCTACATGGTTAAGGTAGGCCCTTATCTCATTACTTACTCACATCAAGAATGTCTGGCCGAGGGGGGGCAGACCCATAAATTTGATAAGAAAGGGCTGCAAGAGCTACTTCACTGGATTTCCGATAAGAAGGGAAACTGAACCCAGGGGGCTTTTTCATTATCGTACTGGAGTTATAAAAATAAGGGTAAGAAGCAATTTCATCCATCTCTGAATGTACACCCAACATATTATTTGGTCCATATTGAAGCAATGCGGCCAGATGAAGAAGACTGGCGCTTACTAAAACAAAGGAGAGTAAATAATAAAGACTAAAAAAATGATTTAAGGTGGCATTGTCCACAGAGAAACCGCCACAAAGCCAAGTCACTATGGTATCTCCTACTACAGGTATGTTGCTGGTTAATCTTGTAATTACTATAGCCCCCCAAAAGCTCAATTAACCCCAAGGTGGTACATATCCTATAAAATATGTCATAATCATTAATAGGAAGATTACAACTCTGAGACATCAAACAAATTTCTTAGGACTAATATAACTCACATGATATAGATCACGAAAAAGATAAAGGTGAACCACAATGAGAAACATACCTGTCCCATTAGCAAGCATATAATGGAGCAACCAAGCTCTTTCAACATCTTTCATGATGTGGTCTACGCTGTTGAAAGCTAGATCCACATGAGGTGTGTGATGCATAGCTAAAAAAATGTCAATCACTATCTGAATGACTAAACAAATACCGGCTAACGAACCGAACCCCCACCAATAACTAAGATTGCTTGGGGTTGGATAATATATCAAATGCTAATTAAGTGTGGAGGATATAGGTTGCTTAAGAAGAGAGAACTGTTGGTTCCTTATAGTCATTTATTTCTATTTTCTATCGTGACAACTCTTATTCCCCCACCTTTTACCATTCTGGGGCCTATTGTATATAATTATAGTGCCCTTTCTTCCATCTTCAAAGGATGGGGGGTATATAGTAAAAGAATCGTCGACTACTCGATGACCGAATCTGAGAGGTTTTTATCGCTTTCTCTTCTCTCCAGCGTTCTTGGTCTGATCATCTTGTTGCAACAAAGCAAGCTTCAATATGAATCTAATGAAAATTTAGGTCTCTGTCCGCTTGGAAGATTTTTTTTAATTTCCTCTTCCTTTGGTGAAAGAGGGCAAAGGTGTGTGGGAGAAATAATTCTAAAAGGAGAGAAGGTTTTTAATCAAGGAGAAGTGATGAGTAGCTCTGATAACACATAGAATACTGTTTTTGATAGCACCGTTGAACCAGTGCCACTCACTGGCTCGATATCTTCTTCCTTTTCTCTCGATCCCCCTTAAACTTTTTAATATAGCTATCCAGCCAACGACGTTTACCCCATCTCTTGTGCTCCAAGGAATAATCAGAGAAGGTTTCTAAAAGAGGAAGCATAGGTTCTCCACTTCACGTTACATAGCTATGGTCAAGTTTCACCAACTTCGTATCGGGTTCACTAAAGTGAAATCTTGTTAAATCAAAGCAATGATGAACCTTAAGACGGTAGCGAAAGGAACCTTCTAGCTAACCGGGTCAATTCAAACTTATTGCATACTTCATGGAATTGAGAACCAGCTAAATTGTTTTCTTCTAATGACTCTTTGTCCTATATTCTTTCAAGCTAGCTAAAGAGCATGCCTGACTCCTGTGAGCAGGTCCACTAGCTCTTTGTACAACTTTTTTACTTTTCTGATTGGGCATGATAACAACTCGAATGAAACTTCTATTATTTCAAGAGAAGGCATCAAGATCCCATGCAAGCGTCGTTTTTCCTTTGCCAATAATAGTTCGTGTCCATCAGTGTTGCTCCCTTATGTAATTTCGGGTTTTGGTAGGAAAGGCAGTAGTAGAGGTGCTATAGGTCTTCTCATTACTCTAATATTTGTTTTCTAGGCTCCCTTTGCTTTCTTTATTACTTATCACGTGCCCAGTCTCAATGTCACTTCCCAAACCAAAACCATTTTTCCCATATCTATGAAAGGTGAAAATTGTGTGTATAACAATCATAGAGGAAGGAGGCGAGTGTGTTAGGGTAGGGGCTAGGTTCTTTAGGCTAATAAACATTTTATTTAAAGCACTAAAAATCAATAATAAAAAGCAAGTCAAGGGTTAATCCTACAACTCAAAGGAAACTATAAGGTTCGACAAACTCATTTTTCACTTTAAGGAGCTGCTCCAGCACCTTTGAATCCTCATCCAAACTAAGGAGTTTGAGAAAAAAGACTAGGTGGAATAATATTCAAAGAAAGATTCACTTATTGTTAAGATTAGATATGCCAATAGATGGATGGTTGTCCTTGATAGAATGGGTCAAGCTAATAAAATCATCTAAAACACACCAGTCTAAAGAGCCTCCCGGATAGGGATTCCCAAAAGCTAGAAGAATGAAATAAGATGATCAGGAAATGAATCTGTGTGGGAACTCAAGGCCATGTTTGGAACCCCGGTGAAATGGGAAGAAGTCATTCAATCAAGAGATGTAGGAGGTCTGCATATCAGAAATAGTTTCAGGGGAAGTCAAGCGCTTGCAGCCAAGTAGTACTGGAGACTAACTACGGTACAAAAGGGTCTTTGGAAGGAAATTATACTCTACAATTACTATCCTGTGATAAATTAGAAATACATTGCAAATGGAGCTGGTCTCCGATTTGGAAGAATATAGCCAAAAGTAAAAATTGTTGGAAGAGGACAACATGACTGGCAAAGCAACTAACAGAAGTGGAATAGAATAATATCTTAACGCTAGCAGAGTTCATAACAAATGAAGACAAATAAAAAACTGAAGCGTTGTTTCTGCTCCTGATTCATCTTAATCCTTAACCTTTTACACTCGATCATTTATTAGTCTTGCTACACTATACAATAGGATTCTAGGGTGAAGTTGAAGTACACACGGCCAATTGAAGTCGACTTCGCTTGTGATTCAACATACCATATGAACAAGAAAAAGAAGAGAAGGGTCTTGCCCAGGTGGCTCCTACAAGGTAAAGACTTCAAATTCAAACAAAGAACGTTCTTATCCAAGGCATAATGGGTCAAAGAAAATATTGTATGTATCTAATGCAAGACCCAGCAATAAGCTAAGGCTAGAAGAACTACAAAACCTTGCCCACCAGAGTTAAAGGGGACCAAAGGGAGTAACTGGAGGAAACCTAAAGATAGGTAATCCATATGGTGACACATGAGAAATAGGGATTGCTTAAAATCAGAAAAAATCGAGTCTACCCATACAACGACTAGTGGACTCATGGTACTGAAACCCTCATTAGATGAGAAGGTGACTGGAAGACCCCTGAACATACGTTATCCAAAGGCCCTATCAACTCAATCTAGAAAGGGAATAGATTGTTGTTGGCTGCCCTCTCGCTACGGCTCGCTGTATGTTCCTTTAGCTATAGGTGTGTCCAATTTGCTATTAGTCCATTCCAAGTAGTGCAAGGAAGCTCGATGGGCTTTCATACGAGGGTCCTGCGTACTATGCCATCGCCCAACTAGTAGGGTCATCCCTGCTATGGTCAACAAGCTCTTGTGTAGGGACTTACAGTAAGCCACCATTTTGTGTACAAACTGTCCCTTCACGATTTTGGTAAGTAACCTCTGGTGTCTACCGTTCTCAGCGTTTCACCGGACCTTGAGTTGCCCGACTCAAACAAACTTGTTTGCCTAGTTGGGCTTAATGCGTCCCCAATTTAGAAGGATGCCCCACCCCCTACTGCACTTTTTTTTTTTCACCTTTGTAATTTCTTTTTTGTTTTTTTTTTGGTACTCTTTCATATGATTGTATGGGATATTCACCTTTATAATAAGAAGGTGGTGCTTGGGTAGGTCTTTTGTAATTACGTTCGGACATGACAGGGAAGTCGGGAGGTCCAGGGGCATAGCCGATCAATTCATTCCCCATCTAGCACTTAACCGACGAAAAAGAGGAGGCCGCGACCCTCGCTGCCATATGAGACAGAGACTATTATACTTTTGAATCTTCCTTTGTCTTTGTGGAAGAGGGTAAAACTACAAGATGTCTTTTTTTTGTTTTAGTGATAATCACTTGGGAGGGTGAATGCCAGGTTTCACCATAAGAAAGAAGGACAAATCGAAGATTTAATAAAATCTGGTTTGAGGGTATCTCATACTTTGCTATTAGTTTCAATATTTGCTGCTTTTGTGCCAACCCTCTAAAGGAAGAACTCTAGGGAAGGTAGGAACTTTAGGATTTATTGATTAAGGAGTTTTTCCCGCACCGATCTGACCTATTTAGAAAGCTAAAATGGAGAGAGAATTCTATATACTCGAGTGCTCGGAGAGGGTCCAAAGGAGCTCAACTGAAGGGAGAGGGAACACCCGGCTAAATATGGTTTGCTGGTACAAAATCCGTTCCTATTGGACTTGGCAAGTAAGCCCAGAAGGAAAAAATTATTTGTTCCCTTACTTTCTTCTTCTTTTTAGTCTGCTCGAAAGGAAAGCCAGTAACTCGAGAGTAGAAAGAAATATAATAGAGTATGACAGAACTGGTAGCTTTGAGCTTGAATGTGTTTCAGCTCTTGTTCACGACCCAGCTACTATTAAATCAGTGTAAGGAGATGTCGACGAAGGTATAATAGAGAATGGAATTCGCTTTGGTTCAGAGCTTAAATCAGAATATCCTTTAGTCACCCCTAGGTGAAGAGAGCTTGTCTCGGCCGGAAAGATAGATCGAGTTTAGCCTTTTGATTTACTTTAGAACTGAAAGAAGCCGGTAGCAAAGGAAGTGGCAGCAGTGCTTTAACTAACTGCTTTTAGGTCTAGAGATTCATCCCCTAGTCTATGAAAAGAAAGAGCTATTGGAGAAAGAAAAGTAGGGGAGGAGACCCGACAACGAATTCCCCAGCAAAAGTCAAGGCCTACCCTAGTGATAAAGAAGAAAGATCAGGCTCAAGGCCCATCTCTTTAATATAGGTAAACCCAAGCCAAGGGAGAAAGGATTCGCCATCCGCTCTTAGGTCTTCGTTGATCGCTTCAGCTTAATTAAAAGACTTCTCTTTCTCGCTTTCTAGGTTTCAGAATAGAATAGGCAATTCTTGTGAATAAGTCTGATGCTATTGCTATTTAAGAAGAAGAAGATGTTGGAGGAATAATCGATGCTGCTAAGATCCCCAGTCGATTTGCTCTTTCGGAAGGGAAGAGAGTTCTATCACTTCTGGGATTAAGGAAAGTAACTCAAAGGTAGTAGGTTACAGAATCTGATTAGAGGGGGATGTGGAAGCATAATACTTTAGAGTAACGAGGTCCTATAGTTTTTTCACTCGAATTTTACCATGGTGTAGACCCCTCTTAACCCCTATTACATAAGGGGGGTCTTCTGCAGGATAAAAGAGAGCGTGGTAAAAATAGCTATAGGTATAGGACAAAAGAAAGAGTATTGCAAAAGAGCATCCTACAGAAATCAGATCTCGCAGAAAGTGTCAACTTTTCTGTATAGTTGAAAAACAAAATTTCATACCTTAATAGCTCCAATAAGTGTGAAAGCTGTTACTTTTTACTTTCAAGCTTGAGAGCCTAAATGATAGATTTTGGCCCAAAACTAAAGGAGCTCGTGACAAAACGATGAGTCTTTATCGTTAGCTTGACCTCAATCAAACACCATTGATTCTACTGATTATCGAGTTTGACCCATTTTGTGTCTACTATTATTTTCAAGCCTTTCATTGTGTTTTAAAGGTACCGGGATCATTCTGTTCCAAGTAATTAATCTGCTGTCAGTTTTTCTACGTCAAGCTGTATTATGCTATGTCTGGTTGCTTGTTTAGAGAATTATATTATGCTCTTCTTTTGAGTTTGTCTCTCACATCACTGTAATATTGATTCCTTGAGACTTCATTGTAGTAGTGGTAATTTGTACTTCTTTTAGGTATTTGCCATTGCATGTCAAAAAAAAACTAATGTCCTATCAGATTACTTTTTTAGCAATTTTTTCTTAAAAAACGATCGTCAAAAAAATTAAAAACATGTTTACACACTATTATACAAATGCGATCTAGATGCATCTTAGTTCATAAATGCCACACTTAATAAACGCATATAGGTACTACTGTACATGTGATTAACGAACAAGCCTAGACAAAGATACCAAAAAACAAAAATAAATGCTACTTTCATAACTTCTAGGGGCACCCACTTTCATTTACGAACCATTCGAAGGCATATCATGTTGATTTATGCTTAATAAAAAATAAAATAATCAAATTGTTGAAATTACATACAAAAAGTATATGATAAACAGAAGGCGTAAGGAGCAAGAACAATTTCACTTCTTTAAGATAGGCTGCATTCTGCAGGTTCCCCATGAATAAACCTCTCTGGGTCTTTGCAATAATCATAGATCATCCAATTCTCCTGCACCCACTTCAACCTCCCTTGGCTTGTGGTATCCAACTCTTCTGAGAGCCAAGCACCATTGCTTGAGGTTGAAGATGAAGAAATTGAACTACAAGATGATGAACCCGAAGACCAAACACAGGCATTAAGGGTGTAATTCGTGAATGAAGCATTGAATGGAGCCTGGGTCCAATCTGTCTTGACCCGACCACCCTGCGTGGCCCAGTCATCAGAGTTCCATAGGGTGGTGTATATCCTCATTGGTTGGTTACTTGGGTATGGAACACCAATTGACTCGGCATTCTTGAACTCTCTAATGGGTGTGCCATCCACAGAAAAGCTGAAAAAAAAATAAAGAATGATTAGATATGGTAATTGTCCTTCAATTGTATGCTTTGTATTATTTAAATTCTTATTCATTCAATTTATCATTTGAATTCATCAATATTTTAATTTGTGCCACTTTGGTGTGATCTAAAAACAATGATTTAGATGAATTACCAGAATTGGTTACATATTTCTCATACAACCACTATTGAGGGGCACTTTGGTTTTTTCAATTTTGCCAACTTTATCTTCATTATATTGATTTTGTCACTATAGTCCTTCAAATTTTTAAAAAAAAGTAATGTCATAGACACTTAAAAAGTAAATTTGATAATCAAAATTGTTAGAGTATTTTAATTAAAAGAATGTTTTTTTATGTAGAAACTCAATCTCATATCGATTAAATATTTAAAAGTACTTGAGTATAAATATATATAATAAAATAAGAGTGTGTTTGAATTTTATCTCAATCATATTTTTCCCTCAAAACCATCATCAATCACTTACTTCATCCATCATCCATTTGTCAAACTCAAACGTCAAATCGTATAACTTATTTCTATCATATGTTTAATCATTTATATATTTCTTCATAAAAATATTATATCACTCATTTCTATCATATATTTAATCATTTAATATTTGATTAATATGTAATTAATATATTTTGAAAAAAATTAATATAATCTGATCGATTTTTTGGAAACTCAAATTTTATATTTTATCGTGCCTTTAGACATGAGTTATGACTATATATATATATATATATTATATATATATTATCCAGCCTTTGAGGTAAAGTGAGACCTTTGGACTCTCACGTGTAGAGAAGTGGAATAAGCAAAGGAGATGCGCATATCTAAAATCTCTAAATGGAATAACATATTAACTACTCCCTCCGTTCTAAATATCTGTTGTTTAAGGTTTTTACACAGAAATTAAGGAAGTTATTAAATAGCTATAATATGAGTAAAAAATAATTGCACAAGACTAAAATACCCTTATTCAATACGTATTGGAAATGAAAAGAATATGAAAGACACTTAGTCTCCACCTAATTTAATGCATTGAAAAGTTAAGGGTAAATATGGAAGAAAAAATATTAATTATGCTTTGGTTTCATAAAACGACAGATATTATGAAACAAAAAAAATTATATAAAACGACAGATATTTAGGAACAGATGAAGTATAATATCTCCGTACTATATAAGTTTTTTCTGTATGAATCGTCTTAATATAACGACATAATCCGCGTTCACCCTGTCATTCAATTTATTTTTTGCCTCCCATTTTTCTAACAAAAACTATTGAATAAGTAGTGGTCTCAATAAATACTGAGATACACAGTGAAATCAATGATAAATAATTATTAAGCTTACTTTTTAAGTACATATAAAATTGCTTTTCAAAAAATATATCTCAATTTTAGTGTGTTATATGCACATTTAAATTAAAGCGCCATTTATCATTGCATTGAAGTGTTACAAACTCCTCCAAACTTAAACAAATAAACTGGTTGATTATGCTCTGTTAAAAAAAAAAAAACAGGTTGATTATGGTGGTATAAGATGGTGGTGGCCATAGGGGTATTGGGGATGGTGCTGTAATGTCTCATTTTTTATAATATTGAAGGGTGTTCTTTATCGGTGAAGGAAGAAGTTTTTAATGTTGTTGATTTTTGAAAATCAGTTTTTTTCTGTAGTTTTTGAAACTCAAACCAAATACAGAAAATACAGAAAGGAATCCTGAGATATCACAAACTTCTGGAAATTGAAATGAAAAGTTGAATGCCTCGGGACAAGTTTTTGTGCACTCACATGATGCTTTGGGGACTCCAATGAATTGAATATTCGTGGAAATCTTCAGTGGGGTCAAACCAAAGGTAGAACTGTTGCTCCCTACCGCCCCCTCCCTTGGTGAACACGTTGGTGTGCAGAATATATGGTTCACCAGTCACGTTCCCCAAGAATTCAAAGTCTATTTCATCGTGCTTTGATCCTTGTGATGACAACTGCATTGTATAATATATGTTGCTATTCTGTCAGATAAACGATTATGGTTTTGGAACTGACGATTCCTCTTTACAAGAAATATATTTTCATAAGCAAACGTCAGCATATGAAATAAAATAAAATTATTTTTAGCTAACAAGACACAAGCTATCGATTAAAAAAAAGAGACACAAATTACCACGACATCTATAGGTTATGATTGATTTCTTTTTGAAATGCACTCAAAGATAATATGACGCGTCACACAAATAATAAGTGGGTTGAATTATTGCCAAACATAAATAACTAAATTGAATTTTTATTTCTTATATGTTATGAATTCTTGTAACAATATGGAATCACTTTCTTTAATATTTTATACCATATAAATCAAAGAGATTGTTGGTTTAGAAGAGGGTTATAGGTTGCAAATTTAGTCGAGCAAAAAAAGGAATCCTACTCTTGGAATTTTCGTTCATGGATTTTTGGGTCAATAAGAAATCGACACGGACTAATAAAATGTTAATGAGTGCTAGGAAAGACAATTAATTAAATGAGATGGTTAGCACTAATTAGTAGAATCTGAAAAAAAATTACGACATAATTTGATTATCACCCTTACATGTATAGAACACAAAGAAAGGAATGCTTGTGTAACTTACATAAAAAGCGGTGACGGTGCCGGCAGAGTTTCCGGAGACAAGTTTGAGATGCATATCTATCTTTGCAAACAGATACTTATTTCGGGATTGTGTGCCCGAGCCGGAGAACTGGTCGAGGGAGAGAGAAAGAAGCTCCCCATTGTTGAGTATCTGAGCACGATCATCGCCCCAAGGGGTGTCAAAATCTTCGTAGAAGTCACCAGCCGTGACAACCATGAGTAAACTACCCACAAGAACTACAATTAGCAACACAGTTGAAACTCTTGAATAACTAGCCATTTTTTCCTTTGACTGGTCAATGGGTTTGGGGGGGATTGGGTGTAGGGGGAAGTTATGATTTTCGAAAAATGAGAGCTCTTTACTGACCATTTATATAGGGATCAAGTGGGTTTTTTTTTTTTGTTTTTTTTGGTCGTGGGGGAGGGGGATATGGTAGTGGAAATCATGTTGCTGAAGAGTGTGGCTGTACAACAGCTGGCCTGGCTGTGGCATAAATAACTATTAGAATAAAAATATATTTAAATTCTATTTAATAAATGTATCTGGCTGTTCTTGGTCCAATTTAAGCCATCAAATGTGGTTTCGAAGGATTGATCTTTTGAGGAAGGCGTTAGCTACTCCTTGAGGGGATGAACACTCCCCAGTTGGGTGTGTTCCTGCTTATTGCCTACTCTTTTTCCAATGACAAATTTTGAGTAACATTTACTAGAGTCATCATAAATTGTTTCTATCTAATATGATATTGATTGTAGGATTAAAATTAAAAGTATATATTTTTTGTCAGTTTAGTCCTCGTTATATTAATTTTATCAATTTGATTCATAAAGTATTCAATCTGTGTCACTTTGGTCCTTAATCAGATAATTCGTTAATTTTTTTACGGAAGTGACTACGTATCATATTGTTATGTGGTATCACATGTCCAACACCTAAGCATTATGTCAAAAACTTAACGATCCGTCTATGTAATGACCAAAATGATATAAATTGAATACTTTAGGGACTAAATTGAAAAAAATGATACAATGAAAACTAAATTGACAAAAAATATATAATTTAAGGACCAAAATTACTATTAACCCTTTATTTTAATCATTTGCCAGTTTTAGAACTAAAAACTACTATTAAAAGCTCATGCATTTGACCACATGCATAAAGGAAAAAACTTTTTGGTAACCATAAAACTTGGTCTTTCAAATTTGAGATAGGCTTGAAGCTTGAAGGAGTACTTGTTTGGAGTTGCAAAACAACACTACTAGGAGAAACATGACAACACCGATCATCATTGTAGATAATACTACTCACTCTAGCATCTAGAGCAAAACCAGAGTCTTTGATTATAGCACCCACAGAAATTAATAGACCCCAGAGGATGCCAAGGATCAAACCAAATGAAAATGGAGCGACCATTGCCAATCTTGTAATTAATTAAACGAAGAAATTCAGCTCTGAGCCTAAGGATTTTCCTCCAAACTCAAGAAGAGTTTTGAGGGATTTTCACGGTCTAGAAGCATCTCCTTTTCAATGGATATGTGTGGGTCCATGTAACCCATATGGGGTTAGGAGCTTTTATAATCACATTCAAGAGAAACCTCATGATAGCGATTTTTATAACACTCAAATTTATATCCAGGCATTAACTATTTAACAATCATTAAATCATGAGAGCACACTACCTGAGTCATTAATATAATAGATAACAAAATAAATCACAAATCCAATATAATAACTTCTTAAGGTTACATCCAAAATTAAAGTAATAAAACTCCAACCAACTAACTAACAAAAACTACAGATATTGTTTCATCATCATAGTGCAAAATTTATAAACTAAAGAGAACATCTTTAAGAATACACTTTCGGATCCACGTCATGATCCGTCTAAAAAATCCCAATCCACCTATTCACTTAGAGTTTATATATTTCTCAATGCCAAAATTTGAAAAATATTTATATCGTAAGATAAGCAAACAAATCCAGTAGAAAAAAATCATCTCAAACCCAAACAAGTTTTAGAAATCATGAAAACGCATCAACCATAGTTTGTAAAATAACATATATCATTTTGAATTAAAACAATATCAGTTAACGATCTCAAGTACCTTCGAGAAATAAGAGTGCCCCCTATAAGATCATACCTTTAGGAAAGAGGACTACGTCCTTTAAGAATATTTTGCCTTATAATTTGAAATAATTTTTAATAAAAATTTGTTATGAATTTATCAAGTTCTGAGTTTATTGAACCCATCCTACTGTCACGGCAAGGAGGCAAAAATCCTGATAGAGATAGAAACTTAAATCAAGCGTAGCCACCCAATCAGATCTAGGCCGAAGGTTAGGCATGACAATATAAACCAAATAGGTAGTGATCTGAGTCCAATTGGATCAACAGGTCGGTGCGTATATGCAAACAAGCACTTTGAAAAAAGGCCCATGAGGGCCAAGTCTTCTTAGAGAGATTTACAAGTATTGAAAGGTCCCTAGCTAGGTGCTAAGGACCGAACTCTTTGAAGAAAAGTTGAGCAAAGAGCCATAACTTCTTAGAACTAAAAATTTTTCTAAGTGTTGAAAGATCTCTAGCTAGGTGCTAAGGACCGAACTATTTGAAGAGAAATCGAGCAAAGGGCCATAACTTCATAGAGTTTAAAAAATTTTCTAAGTGTAGAAAGGTACCTAGCAAGGTGCTAAGGACCAAACTCTTTGAAGAGAGGCTTAGCAAAGGGCTATAACTTCTTGGAGCGTATTAATTTTTTTCTAAGTGTTGAAAGATCCCTAACTAGCTGCTAAGGACTAAACTCTTTGAAGTGAGGCCGAGCAAAAGGCTATAAGTTCTTAGAGCGTAAAATTTTTTTGAAGTGTTGAAAGGTCCCTAACTAGGTGCTAAGGACCGAACTCTTTGAAGATAGGCCAAGCAAAGAGCCATAACTTCTTAGAGCGTAAAATGTTTTCTATGTGTTGAAAGGTCCCTAGTTAGGTGCTAAGGACCGAACTCTTTGAAGAGAGGCCAAACAACTAGCCACAACTTCTTTGAGTATAATTTTTTTTCTTAGTGTTGAAAGGTCTCTAACTAGATGCTAAGGACCGAGAACTCTTTGAAAAAAAGTTCAAGCAAAGAACCATAACTTCTTAGAGCTAAAAAATTTTCTACATGTGGAAAGGTCCCTAGCTATGTGCTAAAAACCAAACCCTCTGAAGAGAGGCCGAGCACAGGGCCATAACTTCTTAGAGCATAAATTTTTTCTAAGTGTTGAAAGATCCCTATGTAGGTGCTAAGGTCTAAACCACCAAAGTAAAACAAAGAAAAAAGAAAAATTCCAAAGAAACTTGTAAAAATGATCTTCCATATATACATCAAAAAGGGAAGAGGGTTACATTTATATATATATAAAAAAAAGGAGGGAAACACAGGCGAAGCAATTATTTTATAGGAAGGAGGTGGTTCGGAGGAGCTCGTAGCATAATGACGAGTGAATAGCTCAGAGGATGGAGTCACATCCGCAGCTTTTAAGGTAGCAACCCACCCCTTTGAGAAGTATGCCTTCTCTAGAGAAGAAATTTGCATAGCCAAATCATTCTCCGCCTTCTCCATAACCTGATCAAAGGCGGAATCCTCCAAATCTTTTGGACTTGGTTTTGAAAGATTCAAATTCCTCTAAAAGTTTAGAGTGCTCAACTGGGTTTAGGAGAGCTTGGTGTTGATTGCAGACTCTAAAGCTTTGAAATCCTCCACCTCAGCAGCAAGCCTTTTGTTTTCTTTAATCAAATTTGATGTTTGAGCCTGAAGAATTAACATCTCTTAACAAAACTTGGCGTACTCTGCATCAGTGATCTCCCTCTTGGCCAACGCATCCATACGATCATAACACTTCTATGTCATCGCCTTGTCCTTTTTGGCAATCCTCACCCCGACTTCATAAATCTTTTGATGTCCCTATAAATCGCAAAGAAAAAAGTGAATGAAAAGCATAAAAAAACCATCTTCCAAAGGGAAATAGAGGGAAAAAAGAAGAAAATACCTAAATCATCTGCTGGATAGCTTATTGAGTGATTTCATCATCAAACATCACCTCGTTTACAGTCAAATCACGAGGAAGAATCACTCCTCTGGAAAAACCCACTACCACGTTAAAGTCTTCAACAACATAATCATGAGCATTAATCTCCCTCACCTTCGCCTTCAAGACTGGGTCAAATAGGGGAATCGCAAGTTCTGGGGGCAGAAGAGTATCAGATTTTGACACTTTGCATTTTGGGGGAGGGGGCATGCTTCTCAGACGAAACTAATGTAACTTCTTCCGTTGGTTCGGAATAAGGAGGGATAGGTTCCAAAAGAGTAGAAGGGAGTCTGGGCTGAATGATAGAAGCCCCAAGTTCATGTTCGGCTAAAGCCCTAGCCATTTGATCAACTGGCTCCTTGGGATTCACAATCTGCTCTAACTCGGTAGGTTTTTCCCGAGTAGGTCCTTTAGGATCAGAGGAAGCTTGAATTGGGGTAGGAGGAATTCAGGTGCACTTGAGGAAGACAGAAAGTTGAGGAAATTCCTCACCGATTTATTCTTTCCAGAAGGACCAACAACAGCCTTCTTACAGGACTGAGGAGTTTGATCTTGAGTAGCTTGGATGGATTGCCGATCACCAGAAAGGGTGGCATTGGGACAAGGAGGACCCGCAATAAAGGACGTGTAGGTTAGAGTGTACTCGAGCAAAGTATGAGCAGCTTGGCAAAAAAGAGTCTTCTTGAAGCCCCATATGTTCTGCAGTTCATCTTTTTTTACGAATCGCTCTAGGATCCTTCTCTTCATAGTTTCACCTGCAAGAAGCATATCCAGTTAGGAGAAAAATACAAGAAATATTTATAAAGAAAGTGTTTGGAAAAGGGATAAGGCATATTGTCAACAACCTAGTGCGCCTTCTTCGTAAGGATATCGATAGGAGGAACTTTCATCAGCAGCGTATTCCTAGTTACAAGAAATAAAGACAATGTAATTTTTCATGAACTTTTTTAGAATTAGAAAGGCGGGTCACAAAATAGTGGTCTTTTTTCCTCACTACAAGATAATATTTGTCTCCAGCACACTTGATAATGTGACAGAATAGGATCTCCCATAGACCCAAAGTCAATTTTAGAAGTTTGTTAAGGGCAACAATGCCCATTACTATCCTAAAGAAATTAGGACAATATTGAATGAGGCACAACTTCAATGCTGAAGCACCTTTAAGAGGAGAGGATGAAGAGGAAACTGAACACCACCCTCGGTGATGGCTCGGGTTTGGATAGA